AAAAAAGATAATATTAGACCATGGTCTGTCTGCAGGGCCTGACTAAAAGTTTATATATATGAAAAAAAAAAAGAAAAAAAAAAATATATATATATATATACACACACCAAGAGTTCTGGCATGAAACTTTAGATGGCACAGTTCGATAGGTCTAACTAAATCTGACCTAACGACATCATTATCACATGGCACAGCTGATTGTTTCTCTCCAGTATCGGTAGCCAATGAGCTCGCTGCTCAGCATTCAAATATACGACTAGTGCTTGCTGTAGCAGTTTGCAGCGTGCTTCAGAAACAGCGAAATCAACGTCTAAGATAAGTGAATGCTCTTCTAATCCATATCGCTGTGTGTATCATATATTTAAGGAAAATATGTTGTTTATATATTAAATATATTTATATATGATATAATTTATATAAATATAAATATATACATTAAATATTTTCAAAATATATTCTGAATGTGTGTCTTTATATATACATAATAAATATACACAGTACACACACATATATTATGTAAACAAAAACTTTTATTTTGGATGCGATTAATCGTTTGACAGTATATATAAATATATTTAATATACAAATATAACAGATTTTTAAATATATACATGCATGACTGTGTATTTATATATACATAATAAATATACACAGTACACAAACATATATTATGTAAACAAAAACTTTTATTTTGGATGCGATTTATCGCGATTAATCATTTGACAGCACTAGTTTAAACTAAGTGGCATGTTAGCAGTTTGCATTGTATGCAGGAGCAAAATATTAAGCATATTAGCAGCAGCATTTAGCATCTGTGTTTATACAGCTGGAGCAAAACGCAGTCTAGAGCATGTAATCGCTCTGAGGACACGCCGATAGTAACAGACATTAAAACAGGTTCATTGAAATAAGCATTCTTGTGTATGCATTTCAACCGTGGTTCGCCATATACAAAGGCGTAATCTCAGTGTTCACATTCATTATTTCTAGGGTCGAAGTTTTCATTGTGATGAGTGTGTGGGTGATTTTTAGCTGCGTGCAGTGTCAGAAGCACGCGCTTATCGCAGTCATATCAATGACAGTGTTGTGGGAGAAGGGAAATAATGCTTCGCTCAAGTCATCCTGGGACGTTCGTACTTACGAGTTGACAAGTCGTAATAACGACGTCAGGTGCGTTCAAGTCACTTTGCTCGGAACAATATGGCGATTTTACTTTTTTCCATAAAATTCTACAATTTTTTAAACTTTACATCTACAAAATTATGAATAAAGAATGTGCGTTATTGTGTTTTTGAATAATGAATAAAGAATGTGCGTCATTGTGTTTTTGCTTTTTTCTGTTTTTATTCAATTTATGAAGGTGATGTAAACTGAATCATTATATGTTCTTTGGTAATTATACAATAATATAATATTTTGTATATGTAACATATAGTTTTATTTTACATTACAAAAAATTAATCATTTTATTAATTTCAACAAATTTACCATCAATACAGATGCTGCATATCTAGTCTTTGCATCCGACACATTTTCCCACTGACACGCCCCCAACTCTGAAACTCTGGGCTTAAAGAAAATTTCGAGTTTCCCACTCGTAATAACGACTTTGTGGTGGCGTTCATGTGTGTTCAACTAGTAAATACGTTCTATCCGACATGACTTGAACGCACCATAAGAGTTATCACTGAAGATCACTAAGGCTGTTGTAGTCCCGAGTGAAATGCATTATGGGTAGAGTAGTTCAGAGAAATGTTTTCGTGTGACGTGTGCTTTCGCTGTGCTGTGTACTGTGTAGTTCAGAAAACGGAGAATGAACATTTATATTCTGCTTTTATTTCAGTTCATTCACGTCAGTCCACCTGGGTGTTTTTGTGCACTGTAACTCTGACAACTTTATCTGCATGAGAGAGTAAAATGACATGCATTGGCTAACTTTGTTCGTCTCATCGTTGCACGAACATGAATTAACAAGCTGTTACCTGCCGCTGGGACTGATGAAGTGGAGAAAGTAACAGCAGTTATCAAATGACTAAATTATGATAACTGCTCGGGTGGGTGCTGGGGTCTTATCTATCGGATTGCAAAGTATATCCATTTTGTTAATTACCATTACACATAGTGCGCGTCTAATTAGAGTTAAGCCAGTCGGCGTGGTAGCCTAGGCTCACATAGTCATAGGCCACTAGCGTTAAGCCGGTCGGTGTGGTAGCCCAGGCACACATAGCCATAGGCCACTATTGTTAAGCCGGTCAGCGTGGTAGCCTAGGCACACATTGCCATAGGCCACTATTGTTAAGCCGGTCGGCGTGGTAGCCCAGGCACACATAGCCATAGGCCACTATTGTTAAGCCGGTC